TTGCGGTGACCACTTTATCTCTGAAGCAAGTCATCCAAAATTAAAAAACCAAAAAAAATTCAATAAAGAAATGTTGAATCTAGTAATTAATCGAAGCAATAAGCAAAATAATAATTTATGACAAAATGGCGGTTTCCTAAAAAAAAATAGGTTTTTCGCCTTGAATTGTACATAAAAACCAAAATATTTATCAGATAGGAAAAATCTTCGATTAATCACTAAAAAATATATTTAAAAAGATCCTGTCAAAATTCGAGACTAATCGGATTAGCCGTTTTCGTGTTATATTGGTCACCGATTTTGAAAACACCATTTCGCGAAAAACGCGTTTAAAGTTTCGAAAGCAAATTTACATGGGATAAATTTTTTTTTCATCTTCCATGATTCATTAATTTGATCCAGCAATGCCGGAAAGAAAACTATCGTTTACTTCAAAATATGTTATACATATTTTCAAGTAAAAACCGATATCACTACTGCTTGATATCAATCTGGCCAAGTCTTGAGTTGGCTAGACGGTTGACATCAGGCTAGGCATATTTGCTCACGACCATCTTATTGATAGTAATACACATGTAATTGTGGCATGTTTTTATATAAAACAAGAATTTTGAGTAAATATTTTTCTAGAACTATTTTTTAATTTAAATAAATAAATATAAATTTCACAAATGTTCCTGACCCGCGAATTTGACACCCGCGTTAAGAATACTCTATTTAATTCTTGAGATGTATTATATAATATTGTAACAAGAAATATAGAAGATGCTTCCCACAAAATAAACTTTCTTTATTTATAATCTTGCATTTTTGTATAAAAGATATCAGTAAATTTTCTGCATTGTATTTAAATATGATCGTTGAAAGAATGTCCTTCAATTATGAATTTGGGATTTTGTATATCTATATATTATTGTTTGGAGACTGCCTGTCAGTTTGCATGAAATTAATTAGTAATTGGCGATGAAACAATAATATTATGCATGAGAAAAAATTCACTAAAAAGATCAATTTCAAGTTAGAATATCAACATTATACGACGATATTAAAAAATTAAAAAAATAGATATGAAAATATGTCTTTGGTAATTCATTAACTGTTGGCTATTTGTATATAATTTGTTAATGGTTAAAAGCAACTACAATTTTTATGACACCCAAAATTCTTTGTTATTGCTTCAGCTTGTTTATATTCTATTATTATAGATGTAGCGATTTAAAACTCATTTACATTTTTTAGACTCTACATTATTTATAGATTTCCAGATGAGTTAATAAAATTCAAATTAATTTTAGCATAAGTCAAAGACATGTAATTTAATTAATCTATTCTGACAGCGTTTTTGCGAGATCCGGCTTCATTTTTTTCTCAAATTAAGATAATATGATGTGTAAATAACAAAATTAAATGCTTGTGTGAAATTATTAAACAAATGCTTCTAGAACTTGCAGATTAAAATTTTATGAAATTGGTTTGAAACTGTAGAGCGTGACGTTCTTTGCTATTAATTTATTTCTAATTTGATGGTTCAATATATTATTTTTTTAAAACTATGTATTTATAAGTACAATAAATTCATATAAAATCGGAGAATAATCATTAATGTGAGCAATTATAGAGACATTTAATGTTGGCAAAATTTGGATGTTGAAAATTCACCATTTGGTGGAAGTTGGTTAAACAACTATTAAAAACCATAATATTTTTTTTTAAGAATTTATCAACTTTAACCACTCGTGCCGTCATCAAAAATTAATTTGTTTGTAAATTTAGTTAATTTTTTTATTTTCGAAGATTTCCGTTTTGTAATTCAGTTTTTTAGAGCGATATAGAAAAAAGATGAAAGGTTAAAAGGTGATTTTTACTATTATTAGTAGACTTAAAATAAGCCAATATTTTTTTTATCTTTATTACGAATTTATCTATTTTCTTGATAGTCTTGAAGAATACTTTTGACTATATATGAGTATTAACTTCCCGAAGCAGAATTTTGATTTCCGATTTACATATTCGATTCGCTAATTTAGTTTTCTCTACGTTTCAAGTCATTCTGATTCGTTTGACACCAATAAAAATTATTTGTCTGTTTATGTTTGTATGTGAGTCAAAGTTTGGCCTTTTGTTGACGTTTTCTCAAAAACGGCTAAACTGATTTCAAAAATTTAAGTCATAGAGGAAAACGCAAGGTACACCAAATACACATGTATTTTTCTTCGTCGATCTGTCGAGCTGTTTCTTTATAATTATCAGATAAGTGCAAATCTTTGGTTAACTGAAGCTACATAATATATTATCACACCTTTTATATGACACATTATCATATAAGAAAATATATAAGAAAAATTCTAACAATGTATTAAATATAGACAAAGCAATCATTCAATTGTTTTCTAATAAAGTAATGTAGTTAATTAGTTATCATCATAATGGCTCATAGTGCTCGTAAGTTCTAATTGCTGTGTAAAAAAAGGTTTAAAAAGTGGACATAAGAAATACAATTCCAATATATGGAACTCGAGATCATACTATGTATTTTCCTGATAGCTTTAATGGACTAGGAAAATTATTTAGATTTCGTCAATGCCGAAAATAGTTCTTATATTCTCTAACGTATAGTTTTATATAATTAATATTCGCAAGATAATTAAAAAGGCCAGACTATTCATTACTTAAGCAATCAATAACAAAAAGCATCGTCGGACGTAATAAATAAATCCAAGTGATCACTAATCAATACTGATATTTAGGTATGTCAGAATATAATGTAATATTCCATGATCTTTACATGGAACCACATTGCGTTTCAACTTTGAAGTGTAACCAACCATTCACCGCAGATGTTCGATGTAATTAATTACAAACAGTATGGATTACTTGCACGCAGTTGCTCGAACATTGTTCTGGATAACGCAGATACGAGCACACACACACACACACATATATATATATATATATATATATATATATATGTGTGTATGTATGTATATATATAATTAGGGTAATTAGTTCCTAATATGGATATTTTTGAATTTCTTTGCTTCCAGGGGCTCGCAAGATAGTCCAAACTCCAAAGTTCCTTAAGGAAATAACATGGAAAAAATTCCATTTGGTTTTTAGAATTTTTTAACACGGCGACAAATAAATCAAAATTAACAATTCGTGTCATGTTTTATTGAAAATTCGATGCTCTGCAAAAAAGTTGTCTACAATTCTTTGATAAATCTATTGGCTTGAGAGTTCTTTAAGCTCTGTGTTTTTATTAGAACTATCTTTCGGGCGTATTTTCATTTAATTATATTGGCCATGAAGGCGGCAATCTTCATGCCATTGAGCTTTTACACCAGATGGTTGCTACCCTGTAGAGGGGATAGCGGATTTGGATCGAGCTTAATTTTCTCACTTCTAAAACTAAAGTCCGCGTAGTAACATATGTAATAAATAATCAATAAATATGTCTTCATCAATTAGAACTTAGTGACGAATCATTAGTGCATAAGGACTTGCGATACAGTTTCATTCTTTGAACAGTTGTAGTATCTGTCTTGTATATAAAATAATTTCTCCACATAGTAACCACAAATAATACAAATTACTTCAATAAACTTACGTTTCTTACACGGTACAGATTTTTCATTTACTTTATTATTTGCACTATAATTATTTATGGGGGACAGGATAAAATATTTTTTCGACCCAGAAATTTTTTATTAACTCAATATTTTTACTAATATTTAACCTTAAAATGTAATGACATGAAACACCGAAAAATTAACAATATGCTTCACGCTTTTGGTGATGTACGCACGTATAAAGTCACGCGTACAAAGAAGCCTCGCACAAATACGACGACCAATTAGAATTGACCCGTATAGAAATGATATCATCGAGAGCGAATGACGAATCATTAGTACTCGACCTTGCCGTAACGCACTTCCGTTGCATTTGTACGGATTTACACCCTAGTCGCGCCTAAAAAAGTTTTACTTCAAAAAATGCAAAAACAATGTGCTCGTTCGTAATAAAATATTAGGTTCCAATTGCAGTTCTAGGTCTATTAGGATATAGTTGGGCCATTTTCCGGGTATAATGGCCAAGAGCCTTGACGTTCCTGTAGCCATGTTCTTTGCACCCAAGATAAAAAAAATTCCCAGTGAGCTTTTTTATTTGTTCCGACTACTCTCTGTACATCAGCCTGTTCATGTATGTATTTTGTAGAGTAATATTGTCTAGTATGTGGGGCTCTTGATTTAAGTGCCAGTCGCAAAGCTTTGTTTTGTACAGTTTGTATTCAATAAAACTAATATAAGTGATTTTCAATTGATATTTTAAAAATTATGTTCTAAACACTCGGCCCATTATTCCAAATTTTAATAAATTTTTATAATTCAACCACTTTTAGTATGCCTATTGTAATTTAAGATAATCGATAACGCTTTCATTCCAATATATACATTAATTTTAATTGCATATATAATTTTGGCTATTCAATTTTCAATTTGTCTATTCAAGTTCTTCTTATTTCCATTATACAGTATTATTTTTGCTCAAAAACATCTTTTGACCTTCCTTCCTGTAATCCGGTTGTGTTTAGGGCGAAATTTGATATTGCGACCTTGTGGTGTTTAAACCGCCGTTAAAGTTTTTAACAAATTGGTAAAATCAAAAAATAGTTTTACCATTATGCCAAAACCAATCTGAAAATATTTTGCCAATTTCAATTCAAATTCAAAATAGAATAGAAAATAATTAAAAGTTATTGGATATATTCTCTCATGCAGGCATGATACAACTGTTTGATTAATTCTATCTTTCAGAAGATACATATTTTATTAAAGCTAATCTGTAACATTTATTGAAATAAATAGTATATCCATAACTTAGGCTATAGTGATACTATTAATCCGACGCTAAATACAAAATAGTTGTTTCCCTCCTAACCCAATGGATTACAGTATTCTCACGTCGAACAAAAAATTACCTTTCATCATCATCATTCTCACCTGAAGTTTACCTTTAACCAAGATCTTAACATTTAAATCTGCATTAACTAAATCGTCTTTAATATACAATTCACTAACGTCTAACCTTTGACCTTTACACGAACAGATTTCTTGGCTTCAAATGATATACTAATATAATAGTTAAACATTATTAAAAAAATGATTTATTATAATTGACAATTACTAATAACGTAAACTGACAAGTTTTTATGAAACATGGAAAATGCATTGATTATTGTTAATTTTTGATCAAAATTACATTAATCGTTAAATTACATACAAGTTTACGTGTGAACCAGAAATTCAATTATTTCTGAATTTGACTTTGGCTGAAATCTCAAGTTGTTTGACATAATTAATTTTAGTTAATTTAATTAAACTTTAACTTAATTAATTTAAGTTAATTTGACAAATAATTAGAGAAGTATATTTTCAGCTAAAATTTATTTTTCATAGGCGTATTCTTAAAAACTGCTGCACCGGTTTAAAGCAATTGATAAAATTGTTTATAGTTAAATTTGTTTTTAATGATTTATTGAGCTTTCTACTAAAAATATGGAATACCAAAAGAAATACATTAAGAATTGCATTTCCATTTTTTTTTACAAGTTTAAAGTAATTACATAGAGTGAAGTTATATGAAGTTTATGCTTAAAACAATATTTATATTTTTGTAATTTTGTATAGTAGAAAAATAAACAGTTTTATTAGTATGAATTTATTGACATCAATCCCCCTGAAATTTGTCTAAATAATTCAATAAATTTTCCGCAAATCATTTTGATAAAGAGCGTGTATTTTTTATTTATTAGAACTAGAAAAAAAGCATTTTTCTTGAATTTTGATTTTGATACTTAAATAAAAAATATGGGAATATTCTCTTTGAGAAAAACTTTTCAACTACTCGAGTGAAACTTTTCTGTTTTTGGTTGAAGAATTTTCATCATTATATAGGATTTTAACTAAGTCAGGACTTCCTAATAATGTAACAGTACCCGAAATGTTATTTGTGTATAAACTATTTGAAATTTCAAACTAGACTTTTTTTATCATAATTGTGTGTTTTAATTTAATATGGCATGTACTTGGTATTCTCTATACGAAAATTTAATTCTGAAGTTATCTCTAAAACAGACTAGTTTGGTTATAAGTGGTACTGATTTTACAATATTTTGAAGATTATCGACAAAAAAATTCAGAAAAAAAATATTTTGAAAATTTTTTAGAAAATGTCCAATTAACATTTAATGAATTAAAATTGTAAAATTATAAAAAATGACAAAAATACAAAAATTTAAGAGAAAAAAAGGTTAATTAGTAAAACTTGGACAGAAAGGGGGTTAATTTTTTAAGAAATTGGAAAAAATAAAATTATTTCATTTGTGTATAAAACCCGAAGTTTAGGAATTTATTTTAAGGCAAATGCACCTCTGGTTATCACTATGAACTTTATAATAACTTTAATATTTTTCACTGTAATATTCTTTATTTTCAAAATTAGATACAAACATGTTAGAATTTTTAATACAAATGTGAATTTGAAGGATTTTTTGTAGTCAAGTATTATCTCATCTTCAACATATCCAACGTTTTAATAATCATTCTAAAGTCAGAAATTTTATGTAACAAATACATTAATAAGGCAAGTTAAGCAAATTGTATTTTAATATTTTTTCATTGTTATTAAAACAAAATAATTGTTTCAATTCATTCCTAAAAATGAAGAGAATATCACAGTTAGACTATCATATCTTTTTAATAATAATAAAACTGTGTAGTGACATTTTGTGGCTCTTTAGACTTTCTTACAGTATCACTATACTATAATTGAACCTTCGCTAAATAAATTACTAATTCCGTATAAATTTTGTGTTTAGAATCTTAGATGTGAAGTTAATATTTTCGTCCACATAATCCAAAAAACGATCTTTTTATTATTCTAATGAATTCACGTGTATTATATCCACTTAACATAAGTAGGTAATTAGAATTACGCTATATCTTTAATTAGCGCGATGATAGCATCAAAACATTTTCAATTGTAATAGGTCAAAGATTCACTAATGTTCTATTTTTAAATGTATGTTAATTTATTCCGTATTATGTAATGTTTTGGAAGAATAATAAGTTTATGGCTACTTTATTAAAACGTTTTTTTTTTGTTTTGGATTTTTTGCGTTATTATTTCAAATAAATCGTGTCGATTTTGGTAATGATTCAGAGTTGAAAGGTTATTCGAAAATTTGCGGATTCTGCAATGTTTTCTTTAGTGTTGAGTTGTAACAAAAAATTGGCTTGATTAATCATAACTACCAAATTACTAGTCTTATGTTGAGTAAGCAGAAGAAACAGAAATATAAACTTAGGCTGACTAAACAATCTAATAGGCTATCAAGGATGATGTTCGATCAATTTCATACCGAAAAAGGTTTAACATAGGGTTAAATTAAAGTTTTCAATGCTTTATTTCAAGTCTACTAATAAGTAAAGACACATTACATATTTTGGGGTTAATATGGATATTTTCAAACTTCTTTGCTCCCAGGGCCTCATATGCTTCCAAATTGATAAAAAAAAAAATGTATGAGGTTTGTCTTGATATTAACTTTAGGATAGTCGGCATTTCAACCAAAGTTTTTTGGTTTTTCTTTGTAGGTAAATACTTATTTTATAAAATATATTAAATTCTTGTTGTATTTTTTTTATTTATGTTCAAAATGAACAAATGTTATTTTCAAAATTTTGATTCAGTTGTTGCTAATTTCTAAAATTCTAAAAAAAAATGTATTAACACCACTGTAAGGAACTGTTCATCACTTGATGCATTTCTTAGATTTCATCATTTTTTACTTTATGAACATTTTCTTATGAATATACCAATTTTAAATCATTACTCACTAGGGTAGATACTTTACATTATTATATGTAAATAATGTAAATGAAAATAATTTATAGAATTTATGTTCCGATGATTATTAATAAAAGAGAGAAAAAAATCCCCCATATAAATCAGGGATCAAATATGGTATCGTAAATGTTATGGCAAGACTATATTACGTACCGATTTTCATATAAAGTGGTACTAAAAACTGTCAAAATGCTATATATTTGCTGTGCAGTCAGGCGTTTTACGCATAAAATGTAACTTCACTCATATGTTATTATGCCACATCGCAAAGATGCACGTACGATAAAACGCCTGACTGCACAGCAACCACATAACATTTTGACAGTTTTTAGTATCATTTTATATGAGAAACGCTACGCAAGACAGTCTTGCAGTATAATTACAAAAAATATCATAATAACTAGTAGTGTATGGCATCGTGCCTTGCTGGAACTTTCCTTACCAAAAATTTTTTTTTTAAAAAGATTAATTTTTTTTAAATTTAACTTAAAAAAATTAGATTTTTGAGAATTTTTAAATTTTTGCCTTTTTGGAAAAAAACTTTCTTCCCGACAGAATAAGCCCATAAAAAATGTCTCATGCACATAGATAATCAAGCAAATAGAGAAGTGATTTATATTTTAATATTTATACAATAAATTATATGTAAATATAACCTGGTTTGGGTTTTTTTATTTGTTTCAAATAATGAGATAACAGATAGTTTTTATACTTACTTATAATTTTAATCAATATATTAAATATAAATTATACATTTATAAATATTGGTTTTCACTAGAAATTTTTTACATATTATTCTGTACATCATATTAAAAAAAACTTTAATAATTTTTTTATGGATAGCATTTGATTACTAGTTTGTTTTTATTTTACTAATACCTAAAATACTTATGCATAAAACTATATACTTAAAACTAAAAACAAAATAGTTTTCAGTAATATCAATTTACTGTAGATTATACAGCCATCCATTTTCTGAAAATTCTTCAATCAATTGCTCAATTTTATTATGATATTCTGCATTACAGAGCATCTTACGTAGATCATCTTCTGATGGCAGTTTAATGTTATCATAATTTATTTCTTTGTTGTCATCGTAGTTTTCAATATTGTCTTGGCTATAATCATTTTCATTCGAAAATAATTTTTGGTCCAGATCCATGGTGATCACTGGTAATAACCAAAGAGCGGTAACAAAACCATAGAAAGATCTATTTTTAAAATCTTCAAAAAATGTATTAAATTCTAAACTGTCCATAAACTTGGATAAAAAATCATTGCTGTTCGGTGAGTGTATTTCACAAGTATTTTCATTAGTTTCATTATGTTGACTTAAATTTGAAGATTCATGCAATCCAGTTTCTGCTTTAATATGATTATCCAAGTTTAAAGTTTTAGTTTTGGTTTCGTTATTATTTTTAGCTAAATATTTATCACATTTGCATTCAAGATTTGACACTATTTCTGATACGATTGTGTCCAAATAAAGCTTGATCAAATTTTTCAAATGTTGTTTCCTAATTTGACTAGATGTGCTCGTGTAAATAAATCTCATTAAATCTGTACTTGGATGAGCTAAGGAACATGCTTGAAAATCCACAAAACGCAAATCTGTTGGTTTACCTGCAAATAAAAATATAATTTCATGAAATAGTATAATAAATAGTATACGTTTGTATACTTGTAATAATGAAGTTTTTACAAAATCAAATAAATTGATTGATGAAAATAACTAAAATTTTCGAGCTGAATTTGTCAGGAAAGTTTACTGCAAAATGTAATCGCACTATTTTGTTATGTTCATTCTTCATTATTTTAATTTCCCGTATAGTAGTTATTGTAATCGTTCACAAATCGAAATTGAAATTTTTTAGAAATATCTTAACGTTTTTGAACATTTTGTTATACCTTAGAAAAAATGGATGTGTGTGTGTATGTACGTATGGATACAATTTCTCGTCCTCGTTTTTGTCAACAACGAATCAACCGATTTGAATGGTTCAAAAAATATTCAGTTCCTATTGATAGGAAAATGTGCTGATTAGTTTTTAGAAAGGGCAGGTCTAGCCGTTTCGGGTATTTAAAGATAAATATGCAAAAAATGGAAGTTTTTGAGAGAACTAAGCGATTCAAAAAACTTTTGCTTGTGTTGAGGAAACGATTGCTTTTGGAAATATTTTTTTTAATTTTTTTTTTTAATTTTCGAAAAACATTTTTTTACTAAATTTCATTCTTTGAATATTTAAATTATGGTACGAAAAGTACCAGCAATTTGCCATTAGATTAATTTAGATAACGTAATGAACTAAGTAGAGTAAACTCTATAAATTAATGTAATCTATATTAATTAATTAACAGTAAAAAAATAAATCTTTAGAGCTTATAGTGGATCCTGATACATCAAATATTGCTTCTACAAGTTGCTTCTTAAATTTGTGGTCTAATTTATAAATTTCTAGTCAGCTCCTCTATATATATCCAAGCCAAAACTTGGTGACATCATTATGAGTAAAGTTAGAAAAAATATCAAACAGTTACATAAATATAACTTGACAAATTTCTTGAATAATTTATCTATAGAGTGTTCCACAACTCAACGTCAAATCGAAACAGGGTAGAACAAATATGAAAAAAATTATCCTATTCTGTTTAAAAATTATATTCCTTTAGCACAAACATATAAATTTGGCAATATGAAAATTCAAGAAGGTTTGAAAGATGGATGAACACATTTGCGGTTCTTATTTTTTTACTAGTTTTTTTAGTATGGAACTAACACGTATTCTACTATTTAAAATTCTGATTAAATACCCACTCTCATTGGTATTTTCCAATGTACCTTAGCATATTATTTTTCAAAGCTTTTTTAAAGATTATAAATTTGTGGTTCAACAAATAGTGATAATTCTAACAAAATTATGGCAATTGCACTAATATTTTTTACTGTGGTTCAGAAAATATTAGTGTTGCGGTTCCAGAGTTTGAATGATAAAATAATAAAAATTAACGCCAATAACCGAAAAATAGTTACAGTTTAAGCAAAACGTTTTACTAAAATGCATATAATTTTCAAACTCCATAGAAATGATTTTTCTGATTTTCATTAATATGGTTGCAATCGTCCCTGTTATCTCGTTTTCAATTCTGGAACAACCTACATTAGCGGTCGGGAAACTTTTTTAATAATTACTCCAAAATATTTTTGTCTAAGTTGATATTACCCCCATGGCGAAACGAAATTACCCTCATATAGACAATTACGAAGAAAATATAGTAAATATTAATTTAAACAAACGTGTTTTTTACCCACAAAAATTCCATTTTCACCTCATTTGGAGTAATTTACCCCAGCTTTCCTACCACTGACTGCTGTATATAAATATTGCAAGTAATTTATCACCATACTAGTACATAGATTTAGGAATTGTTTGAGATGTTTTCGATTTGTTTTTGTATAAGATTTATATAGGTTTACTGTTTAAATTTTAAAAGTAATTTAATTTGATACATATTAATTTCCTTCAAGCTAATTTTAGTTAATAAAATATTAATTTTTAGTGACATTTTGCAACTTACATAAAACCACAAATAAGGGGTTTGAACAAAAGCCTAGCATTAATATCTCTGTATTATTCAGATTTTTTTTTACTCTTTATGATACGTTGAATTATCGATATTTTAATTTTGTATACACATAAATATCATTTGCTTCAAACAGTATATATTTTTTTCAATGCTTCCATCAACTAAACCTTTGACCAAAGTAATTGTCGATTACACGATCAATTAATTTAACACATTGTGGTTCCCATGAAGATTAAGACAATTAACTTTTGACAGGTGTATCGGATACCAAAGCACCTATTTTATCAGATACAAATTTTAATTGATGTTTAATAATAAATCATATATAATTTTAATTATTTAATAAGATGAATAACATATAGTATATCATCATTATTGACTATTAGACACGCATTACAATGATTAACAATTATGAATCACCCGTTCAGCATCTATAAAATTATTTTATTACCTAATTGTTGATGGGTTTCAACCTTGAATTGATTTACTAAAGCATTAATCACAAATTTTTATTAATTTTGACATACCATATAAATCTTGTTAAGTGACATATATTATTTATGATAAATAATATATTATAAATACATTTAGAAATTATATTACATCTGCTTCGTTGCAACCATTAAATAAATTTAGGTTAAAACATCATCGTGTATTTATGTGATCTATTGAATTGAAGTATTTCATTAATAGAAGTTTACAATAATATACAATCATTCGAATATAATAGAATGTTGATGCTATTTTAAGTTTTTCAATAATTTTTAATGTTGGTCAAGATCATTTGTTATTGTAGAATAAAAATGTACAAAAACATGGCTATAGACCATAATTACTTAGGCATTTCCAATTATCAGATATGTAATAGAGATTTGTAAAATACGTATATTTTTTATATTTATCATAAAAATATTCAATATACTTCAATAAGGACTTATCCTAAATTTACTTTAACGTTTAGGTATCTTTTAACGTTTTTATATAGAACCTATTTATTTTCCTTGTTTTTGAACTTACAACTTATATAGTAATCGCAAAAAATCGAAAATGTTCTTTATATATTTTTAAGTTTCAATGGTTTCTGAACATTTTGGCATACTTTAAAAGAAATGGACGTGTGTGTGATCAAAAAATATTTCTCTTGTAAGAGAATGAAGAACTGATTAAAATTTTGACAAGGCAGGTTGTCTAGCAGTTTCTAGAATCGTGTGAAAAAAATAAAACACAATTTTATGCCCAAACATTATTTTAAAAAAATTATTTATAGGCTCAAAATTTGTTAATATTTTTAATTGTAAGGGTTCCGTACCATTGTTTATGCGTTATTTTGCGATGCGGCGCTGACGCATTTCTTTTTGTTTCTAAAACAGCTACGCAGCGCGATAGCTTTCAACATTTTTCAAATTTCTCAAAAATAGATTTCTCAAAATTCAAAAAAAATTTAGAGCTTATTTATTACATTATTTAAAGTTGCATATAAATTATATCATTAACATAAGACATTTCAAGACATTTCATTTTTTGTCTAAAATTTGGTTTATCAAAAGTTAATAAAATCTAATATAATATCTCAAATCATTATATTTATTTTCATTAAATCCACCAATTTGAATCTAATCACGCGTGCCTAATGTGCTAAGGTGAATTTTGAAACGTTTTATTGCAAAATTTCAATTTCGCTAAGAACTGAAATGATTTATTATGAACAACCTGAATGAAAATAAACGCAATGACGGATAATAGAAAAATTAAATAAATTGCTAACCTTGGTGATCATATCGAAACATGATATTATTCAGCCATAGATCTCCGTGACATATTACTAATAAGTAATCGACCGATTTCGACATCTGGTACATCAGGTCGAATATTCTACCTTTCAGCCGCTCCAACGTTGTCAGTATTTTTGTTGAAGAATTCCTGCAATACAATTTTTAAAATTTAACTCCTTCCAAAAAAGTTTTGAGATAAATATGATACTATTAATTATACTAAATTTACCTTTTTATATTTTTATAGCTATCCAAACCTCTGGCAAATGAAACTTCTAACATTTCGCTAAAATGCTCTCGACCGTCTTCACCAAAGACAACGTGATGTAGATTATTGCTAATTTCATAGAATTTTTCTGGTTTTTTGCGCTTCAAAAGAATTGATTTAGCGTGAAATTTTGCTATTTCCTAAAAAAAATAAAAATCACAAAATGAACTTAAAGCTCGATACTATGAGCAAAATAATTGATTATTCATATAGGACACACATATTTTGTGAAATAATTAATCAGTAATAAAGCTTTTTTGTGAACAATATTTTTGATAAAAGCAGCCGTTTTGGAAGAGTCAATCGGTCATTTTGGGATCAGGCATGACTATTTGTTACATGCACATTAAATTTTTAATTTTTTTACAGAAAATGTTATAATCTGTATATATTTTATTTTAGGTTTTTGTATAAATAAATGAATTTTTAAAATTATATCATATGAGCCAGCTATACTCAAGTTCATCTAAGGCGTTTTCGGTTAAGGGCGTGGGCTTCGACAAATTGTTTCCGGGTTCACCCAACATCGGTCAATTTTGATATCGAGCAGCATTATATCAAATTGCCACATGAGTTCATAAGATCTTAAATATAATTTCCTTTGTAGGCAAAGCTGCAACAAATTAGATACATGTATCTAATATAATCGCCATGGATGACGGATAACCGATGGGTTGCTTCTCATGAAACATTCTGTTAAATCTTAAACAAAAAGTCTTCACCTATTTATAGATTTAGTATTTTCTAGCAGTTCTAATTGCTGTCGAAATAAAATATAGACTTATCTCTGAATTACTATTTTAACTTTTTGAATAAAATTTTCGAATTTTCACCTTTTGTGATTTTACCTTTTTCTTTAAAAAGGTTGGTATTATTTTTTTTACCTAAATTTAAAGACTAACTTCCGGATATATGATTTTTCTGAATATTTATTCAAGGCCTGTGTCATCTATATAAAAGTTTATGAAAGTATTACAAGAATAATGAATTTTAATTATTTAGTGTATTCATAAAAAATGCATTTTCAACAAATTCAAACTTAAAAAAAAAACACTTTTATATACTTGTTTATGAAACCAGGAGATCTAGATTTTTCTTGAAGCAAAACGTTATAATCCATTAGTTTCGAATATTTTCAAAATAAGATTTGATTTGAATTCTTGTAAATTAAATATTATTGAAAGCTTTAATATTTTTGAAGGTCATAAAATTCCCAATTTAACTATTTGATCGCTTTGTCAGTCATATGTGTCTGACGACAAGAAGTTCTACGTAAGCTGGAAGATATATTTCTGACATACGTGATTTGGTAGAAGGACACGTCAATTACAGATGTCCAACGTGAAAACGAAATATTTGCAGTATTTTTCGAAAACTTGATCTATCAGGAACACAAAAAGTGAAAATTTCATGTCAGTCATACAGGTGTGAAATAAAAAATAGTGTTTTTCTGGAATTTTGGCAAAAAAAAAATCTTGGATACAATATGTTCAGATAGATATATTTTTAACAAAACTGTTTATTAAAGATACAATATCCCATGAGAAAAAAATTCTGATATCGTAGCCATTACCTTGTTAAATTGTAACATATAGAAATTAAATAGCTGTCTTTTTACTTCGCTTGCAATTGTTTTGCTGTGTCTATACACTGATTTATTGGAATAGAGATGTAATACAAAACACGATACAATTTAGCAACTACCAACCGTTGCTAAACCATATAACATCAGTTATTATTTCCACCAACCTTAACAACTAATTCGCAATGTTCCAAATCCAAAACTCGTTCGTTCCTCATCATCCTGTAACCACTTTCGTGTAGATCTTCGAGCACCAGACGCCTCTCGTCGGCCATAATGACCTTAGGCCACGCAGTAGCACTCTTGTCTTGCACTTGACCCAGAGCGGGCAGAAGTGCTTCGTAAACAAAAAGCTCGTTGGCGAAAGCTTCGCGCGCTCGCAAGCTCGAGCTCAGGGAGGACGGCCTCAGCGGCTCTTTCATAATTAGTGATTTCTGGTACTCTGCCAACGATAAAAGATCAGAAATTTTCCTAGATACATACATACATACATACATACATACATACACATATATATATATATACTAGCCGGCCCGGCTAACGTTGTTTAGCCATAAGAAATATTTTTAGAAAGCTTTTATTATAAAACATATCGAACTGGTTGTGAGTGTAGAAGTATGTAATTTAAGCAAAGTAAGCAGCTAACACATAATACATAGATGGTTTGCGCACTGCAATGCCTACCTCATATAAATATTTTTAGTTTAGTTAGTATATCTTAAGAGTCATTGCAAGTGCTAGTCTAATCTGACCAGACTGATTTCAATTAAGGTGTATTTTAGTGTGGAATTTAAAAAAAAATAGTTTTTTTCTTTTTTTTGCATGTTTTCAAAGTTTAACTATTTAAGAATATGTGTAAGAGAGGATTTTTGAAAATTTAAATCATTTTTGGAAATACAGCTGTTTGACCATGATAATCCTTCTCTGTTTCCTTTCTTTTGCGCAACTTTAAACGCGTTTTTGTCAAAACCGTCTCATTTAATACGATGCCCACGATTTCTCGAGCTTTACTGGACCGATTTACTTGAAATTTTAGGATAATTTCCATAAAAAGACTCCTCTCTGTTATATGCTAAACTCATCCCAAATTTCTATGTTTACTATTTTTAAAAACTCAAGAAAATAATAAATCAACGATCTGAGCAGTCGCCATTTTTTCAAAAAACTTAACTTATACGTAGTATATATCATAGTAACAATATTCTGGATTAGTAATCTTTTGTTTCAATTCAGATTACTAGAGGGGTTGTAAATCGTGGGTATGGTCATTTAGCAATTTTTGGAAACGCTCTACTTCAATAACTGCTAACTCCTAAAAATAATAACTTTTTTACTTTAATTCTGAATTATTTAAACATCAATGAACAAATTATAAGAGAAAAAATAGATTTTTCTACTTTTCTACGTTGATCTAAAAATGACCTGGAATTCATGTCTCTAAACTAGAATACTCCCTTAAATTGAATTGGCACATGTAGATATTCAAGGTATTGATATATTACCACTCTTTTCATTAATCAATCAAAATTTTTGAGAATAGCATTGTATTTGCTTATTTTGATCATAAATAAAAATTTCACAACAAAAATTTGGTATATATTATGAAATAAGCATTTGCATAATAATTATACTTGATATTAATAATAATAGAGTAATTAAATTTCAAACTCGAATAACTCTTAAGCCAATAGATTCAACAAAAAAAATTAAAGTTTTTTTTGTAAAACTACAAAAAATATAATTTTTTTGTAGAGCATCGAATTTTCAATAAAAATGACACGAAATATTTGTCGAGTTATAAGATTCTAAAAAGCAAATGAAGCATTTTAGCCTCTGCGAGTTGAGGAATTCACAAATATCCATATTAATTCCATAGTGTACACGTAGCAACAAAATTGTTTATAGCTGGTTGTAAATTTCTTAAATTTAAGACGAGGGAAAATATTATTTTTAGCTTTACACAATATGCCTCATCTTTCTTTAATAAATTAGTAATATTGTAAAACTTTTTTTCTTTTTCAAATAATATCATGTTAAAAATACAATATGCAGCCGATACAGTGTCTACTATCAATTCAAAAAGCATCTTTCTAACCATTTAAATTACAATGTTAATATTAATTATATATTATAATATCAATATTTAATTATTTTACCTTTATCTTCTAGAAATCCGCTAATATGCAGCCTGGAAATTTGCGACATAAAATTTACTCCTTTTTCACAGTCGTCTATTTTCTGAACTTTTTGTAAAATCAAGTCATTTCTTTGTTTATAGTGTTGTAGAGATTCTGTTAGACGTTGGAGAAAATCATCCTTAAATAATAATAAATGATTTTTGTTAAAAAGTTGAACAATAATTAATTTAAGTATTTTAATTTTTATTCAATTGTAAGTGAATTTAATAAGGTTCCAATGAGGCAGGTGTTGTCATTTCTTTTTGTAAAAATTTTCCAAAGTTAATAGCAAATTCTATTTTAGTGTCGGATGCTTTGTAGTTTTACTAATAACGGAACATCGTGCAAAAATTATATATTCAGGTTATCTAAAATTATGAAAAGCTGATAATACTAGCTTGAACAAAACTAGTTTTTAAACAAAAGGAGCTTCTGCAAGTACTGATGGCAATATTGAATCTAGAATAATCTATAGAAATTACTTAATAAAATATAAATCAATCAAACCAAATTCAAATTCAATAAATTTATTTGCAAATTCACAGTTGGGATCTCTATTGAGATGTAAAATACTGACATTAAAAATACTAGTAGAGAGATTAATTTTTTTGAACAAGTAGTTATGAATGATGTGAATTTAATTATTAGAATTTAGGGAGTGAGAACAGTGCAACACGAATAATTTTCATGCAATATAGAAAATCCAAAGTTAGTCATTATTTTATATGAACTAAATTGGCGTATTTGGCTAATAACTTAACTCAAAATATCTATAATGTATTATTTTTTACCAACTATTTTTTTTCGTACGAATAAAAAATTTATACATGTAAAATTATACTAATCGAGTCATTATGGTAATCTTTCGAACGATATTTCTATTAGTGCAAAAAATAGTTTAAATTGTGGGAAAAATATTTGAAGTTAAAACCTTGAGTTATTTTAGTGAGTATATAATTTTTAAGAGAAAATATTAATAAACGTACTGCTTTACTCGTACATATTATTAAAATTATCATCAAGGAACTAATGATGTAAGTCCAAGAACTAAATAAAACAAAATATAATTTTATACCGTCTAATTATGACGGATAATATTTATGAATATAAATGCAATTACGTTTATGCCATATCGTAAAATTAATCATTTAAAAAGGAAAATTTTCAAATTAATATTCTGCAGTGTCAATTGCATACATAGATTGTGAAGTACAGGTGACATTTGCATTTGCATGCTTCTACATTGTCTTAATTTGTTTGTAGAGTGATGTAAAACAAATATGTTTTTAATTAGAACGGAGGCTAATAAATAATTGACTCATATGTACTGAATTTATTATTTTATTTGCTGAAGACTGAAATTGAATTTATTTTATAAAAATATAGAAAGTGAATAAATAAGTGGGCAATATTTTTAAATAAAACTTCTTTAGGCGCGACTCGGGTGTAAATACGTACAAATGCAACGGAAGTCCGTTACGCCCGAACTTCTATACGGGTCAATTTTGATTAGCCATCGTGTATGTGAATAGAGATCTGTCGTTATATGCGTACCGGCATCAACGTTGTATGCGTACCGTTATCAACAAGAAAATCGACATAGATAAATATACATTCTAAATTTACATTGTAGTACAAATCTTGATTTATTGAAAAATGCCTAAATCAGCAGAATATTTTACCCTGTTCTTTGCAAATAATAAAACAAATTAAACATTTTTGTACTAAACGCAAGTTTATTGATTAGAAATTATTTTTATATTATTCGTAGTTCCTATAAATCTTTGGAGTTACTAAAATGGAAAATATTTTTTAGGCAAGACGTATATTACAGCCATTCAATGAATGAGACTATATCGCCAGCGACAAAAATACAAGCTATCAATGAATGTATATTAATTTTAATTACAAGAAGTTCTTTAATCATAATTACATAATGAGTGAAGTTGCAAAAACAATATTTGTTTAGGCGTTGTTTAACATAATCCACTGTGTGAACAATTATTATAGAAGCAATTGCTTCATTTCTCTAATGAAGGTTCATTTCTAAATGCTAATTACAATGACAAACCGATCATGTCATATTTGACTTTAATTACATTATTGTTTTTAAATATTATACATATTTTTAATGCTATTATAAATATATAATTTATAATTTACCATTATATTAATGTGTATAATGGTTGACACTAATAAATGTGTGCATCACGAGTGTTTCCATATTACTAATAAACATTATTCAAAATTGTGTATGATGTATTTACTTTTACTTAAATGCCACTTGTACAGTAGTAAATAAGTTTTACTTCAATCGCGCGTGAACCATACGCGTACTCTTTTTTATTTTAAATTCTTTTAATTTAATTATACACCATTGAAAAAGTCTACAATAAAATAATATAACTTAAGCAGGACTCTAATTTTATTTCTTCAAACACAACTTGTTTGTTTTTTTATGCTTTTGCTAAATACTAATACTTCATATTTCCACATGTTATATTAATAACAAATGTTATACCAACTATTGTCCAAAGTCTCTCATTGCAAAAATGTTTATTTAAAATCTTAAATTCAATAATTGTGATTAATTCAATGATTAATTTCACCAGCCCTCCATCTACTAGTGAAGACATCTTAACCAGCACCCAGTAAGTAACTGTTACGTCAGGGTGACGTCACAAATGTGACTTTATAAAGATGAGTATGTGTGATATGACTTTGAAATGACATGATTTTCTCACGATATTTACTCTTGCGTTTCCTTCCATTGTTTTGCTCTAATCTCGCTTTTATATTAATTTCTCTAATATAATTCACAGCCGAAAAAAACTACAAATTATCGTGTCCTTAAGTTTAAAGATGGTTTAAAACAATTTTGTTCTGATGACTATTAAGTGTGATTATGGGTTTGTTAATTTGCAGTAATTACAAAGAGACTATTTAATTTTCATGGACACCCAGTAAGGGCAAACGGAATTTGGACACTTTGTATAATAGATCAGCGATTTTAAAATAGAGGTTAAATATTAAGTACTTTTATTTTTTCAACATATTGTTTGAGAAAATAACACACACTGTTATTAAAAATATCACTTTTGCTTAAATTATCATGTTCAATGTAATTCTGGGCATCACAGTACTATGGATAGATAGATTTTGTTTTATAATCAGTGTTAATTATTTTATTCATTTATCGAATAATATGATTAGTGGTAAAATTAATTAAATTTTTTTTAAATAAAGTGTTATTATTTTAGATTACTTCACATATTTCATTACAATATATACTTTTTTTATTCAATGAGTTACACATCAATTCCACAAGTACTTCGAATAATTTTATACATATCTATGTCTATTTTATTAACTTTTCTTATTTCTTCATAAATATATTACCTAACAGCACCAATAATATTTATTCATTTTATTTTTTAATGCCATTGGCCACATTTTACATTAACAAATAAGATATAATCTTTTCATAAATACATTTTATAAAATTTGTGTTTCATTGAAATAATTATTATAATGATTAATGTGCTTTTTTAAAAAAAATAAAACATTCATGAAATGAATGTAAAATAATTATTTTGATTTGAATCACATTATTTCTCTTAAAAAGTAAAAAATAAAATTTCTTTTAAAATTAGCGGCTGACCACTACAAGTTTTTCCAAACTTTAATTTTAATCACGTTATTATTTCACTTCAATAGTACATATTTTTTTAAATTTGTGGTTGACCACTATGAGTTTTTTTAAACATTTTTATATATACAGTTTTCATTTTAAATTTGTGAACCTTTACTTGTTTGACTCTATAATAGGCATATAATTCTAAACTCTAGAATAAACATAATTTAATAATTTGATTTTTAGTATTAATTAATGGAGCCATTATTTACTTTTACATTTATATTTTATTAAAATTTATATTAAATTACTAGAAAAATATATTTTTAATGCAAGTGCAAGTATTAATCTTGTCAAGCTTAATACCATGATGTTTTATAGTTATCCTTTGATTTCAAATTGATTGAAATGGTTGGTTTAAAGTATTTCGTAAATATTAAATTGTTTTTAAAACTGCTACTTCAAAACATTTCACTTTTCTGTTTCATTTAAAAACAAACTACTTCAACCCCATATATGCTGACAAAATTACTAATATTATTGCATTAATTAATCGTCTTGATTTATTTTATTTTACATGATTTTTCTATTCTAATAAATTTTACTACTTTATTATCTTTTTATTTATTTCAAGCTTCTTTAAAAGGAAAAACTAGTTTAGTTATAGTGTAATACTGTTTATTTAAATACTCTGATGTGTCTCAAGGTATCTTGTCATTGATATTGAAACACATTGGTCATAATATTGACCTATTTACAACTGACATGTCGCAAATGTGTTAATAGCCTATAAAATAAATCAATTGATTACAATTTTATAACAACTATATTTAGATGCATAATTTAATAAATAATAATAATAATAATAGACACTGCTTTTAATTAAACATGAAAATTTATGAGTATGTAGGATTTTTATAAAATTTCTCATGAAAAATTCTACTAAAAAATTTTATTATTCACTTTTTTACCATTTGCACCATTACTGTACTTATAATCAAACGTTTTGTGGCCTACATCAACATTACAAAAATTGTTAAAATAAGTTGATTTTTTTTTAAATTAGGTGTTATTATTATGGATTAAAATTTCTCATTTACAATTTAGGCTATGATAGAGTTTATAACCTATTATTTTTGTGACTTTATAATAATATTTAAATAGTGTTGAAATTATTTTAAAAATTGATAAAAAAAAATTAAATTTGATTTTCAATTAGCATATTTAACTTCTCGTATGGTAAGTTATAGTAATCGCAGAAAAATCAAAAATATTTTTTTTTATATATCTTTACATTTCAAAGATTTTGGCATATCTTTGAAGAAATACGTGTGTTCATATGTATGTATGTGTCTGTGTATGTATGTGCGGATACAGTTTTTTGTCGACGATTTTGAGAAGACAGGTCAAACGATTTAAGTTATTATAAGATATTTTTTAGGGATTTTCATAATAAGCACAAATTTTGTTTACATTTCTATGGACTACGTAGCAAGATTTATAATGTGTAACAGTACGACGCGGCGCTTATGCGCTTCAAGATTTCGTCTCTAAAACAGCTACGGAGCGCGACCACCCAAAATATAAGAAAAAATCTGATTTCTCCAATAAAAAAGTCCAATTTTTTTTCATCAATTTTAAAATTCTTATATATATTTTTTTTCTTAAAGATTATAAAAAAAAGTTAAAGCTTTCAATGATTTTTGTCTTAAGGCAAAAGCCTAAAATTTGTAGATAAAATTTTTTTTTAATTATTTTTATTTACTCTATTACTATGCTTATAATTTGTTTTTTTTTTCTATCTTTAAAATAATGTTATGAAAAGTATTAAAATAAGTTAAAAAATATTTAAAAAAACGACTTGGTCTATATATTTTTAATATCTGGGCTTCAAATATATTTTTTCTATGTAATACAGATGATTCTTACTGCTTGACTTTTCATTTCTCCTCACAGTTTTGTATCTTTTTTGATAATTATTTAAAACTAAATTAAATATATGTAGAAATGTCTACTATGAAAAAAAAATCCATGAAATTTATATAAAATTAATCACTTTGTCTCAATCATTTCAATTCACTGTTTCCAAATTTAAGATTGAAATATGTGTGGCCCTTTTTTAAAGAATATTTATATTTTTTTATAAATTATGTTAAAATACTCAGTTTAATTTTTTTCACACTGTTTTAGTACTATTTATTTTATTTTCAATAGAAAAGCATGTTTTTTTCAAATTTGGCGGTTGACCATTACAAATTTGGCTGAACCTTTGCATACATAGTGATGTTATGATTGTGTTTAACTATTTATTTATTTAATTGTATAATTATCATGTCAATTTAATCAACGTTCAATTAGCACTGAATATTATTTTAAAAATAGTTTTTTTTTATTTCGAACTAAAAACTGTTACGAATCAAAAACCGCCGTCCCATATACGATAGACTTTTCCGGCCGGGTGAAAAATTTAGCCAACTTTGCTGCTTTTCCCAGCAATTGCCAACTTTGAACTAAACGTCGGAAAAATGTTGATAATCTAGTTCGCATCTCTGGTGGGTGCAAGTCTGTGTTTTATTTCAGAATGCATTTGAATGAGTTTTATTCGAGCTGACCTTGAAAATTGCAACTGTGATGCAATACAAAGAGTAAATTGTCTTGTCACTTAGCCAACAACCGAGTATTAGTATATTGCAAGGCCGAATTACGACTTAGATTATTTATTTATTATTGCCAGTCGTGCGTACGAGGAATCTGTTTATTAGATCGTTGTTATATCAGATCGATACAATTTGCATGTCGAATAGATCGTAGGAATTTTCACGTCAAATATTATTATTTACGCATAATTGAGCGAAACTTCTGATGCGTATCTGTATTCGCATGAAAAACGTATTAACTACATGTATTATTAATGAAATTATTTTTTTGATGCATAGTATAATGCTGAATTTTTCCATGTCGTTTCCTGATCAATGTGTTTTAGGAATTTTCTTTATTTTATTGAGCAGTAATCGGAGTTTTAGAGTCTTATAAGCTATTGGGCTAGTTTGACTTTGTACCACGTTGGTTTTACAGATGGCAACTACATCAACAGTTGTCTGTTTGATAAATTTTATTACAAGTTCTGTAATAGAGCGAATATTTATTGATGCAGCAATGCCGCAGGAAGGCATCTTTTGGAAACATATTACTATCTATGGGGCCGATTCTGCCGCATAACAGAAAAATGTAATGGCAAGGCCATGTTATGAAGAATTTGTCATACTAAATATTAACAAAAGCCAGTGGTTAGTGTGCAGTCAGACATATTTCTCAGGTCAGTTACATACCCGATAAGCAGTAGGGACAATCGTTTTTGCTTGAAAATATAGATAGAAATGTATCCAAGTATAAGTAGTCCTTATCCGGCATTGCAGCATTTATGGAAAAATTATCTGTTTTACAATATTTCCGTTTTGTCAGTTTTATAAAATTCATATATCAATATATATATATATATATATATATATATATATATATCCACAATTTAATTTGAATTTTACCAATTACTAATTGCTCTAAAATGATAAGAACATAAGTTTCTTTCAATACAATGTCAAAAATATTCGAATACAAAACGTTCTGCTAAAAATTTTTGCAATATAGATAAATAATAAAGATAGCCAATACGCCACAAGGGAGACTCAAAACACTAAATCAATAATTGACCATGTTATATCAAATTATAAAAAGAAGATTAATATAGAAATAGAAGACACAGAAATATCTGATCACAAAATGATAACAGTATTTATACAAAATACGCCGAGAATCAAACCAAAAATGCATAAAATAATTAGATATAGCATAGATTTAGAAGGATTAGAAAAGACAATAACTTGTAAGTTAGACTCTAAAATAGTGGACCAATTAGAGGATTTAATAAAAATAATACAGGATGCAGCAAAAGAAAATAAAATCAAAGAAACAATAAGAGCCAGAGAAGATACCTGGATAACAGAAGAAATTATTAACTTGATGAAATACAGAAACAAATTCTACAATAATTTAAAGAAATGCAATATAAATGAAGTAAACAAACATAATGCCATAAAAATAAAATATAATAATATAAAAAAAGATATAAAAAATATGATCTACAAAGCAAAAAGACAATACTATTCAGAAGAAACAAAAAAATGTGAAAGTGACTCTCGAAAAATATGGGAACTAATAAATAAAACATTAGGAGGAGGAACAAATAAAAACGAATATAAAGAAAATATTGAAAAAATACAGCATAAAGATAAAAATATATTTCTTACAGAAAAGGAAGACATTGCGGAGTATCTCAACAAACATTTTGCTGAAATAGGTATGAAACTACAAAAGAAAATGGATCATTGCAACTATAAACCATCAATACACAAACCTAAAAACAAGATCCAAATTTTTGAATTAACAGATGAGAAAGAAATAAAAAAAATTGTTGAAAATCTGAAAAATAACGCTGCACCTGGCGAAGACAAGATAACAGCAAGAATCACTAAAAAAATAATAAATATAATAGCTCCACTACTTGCTGTTTTAATGAATAGATACATAGAATGTGGTATATTTCCATCGTGTCTTAAAATGGCTACAATAAAACCAATTTTCAAAACAGGAAACAAAACAGATCCAAATAACTACAGACCCATAACAATAACAAACACATTCTCCAAGATATATGAAAAAGTAATAAAAAAAAGATTACTTGACTTTCTCATTCAAAAAATTGACAAAAATCAATATGGTTTCCTCCCTTCATCAAATACACAAGGTGCCCTAATAGATTTGACTAATACCATCAGTCAGCACCTTGAGGAAAATATGCACACAGTTGCAATTTTTATTGATTTACAAAAAGCTTTCGATACAGTAGATCATGGCATATTACTCAATAAACTAATAGATTTGGGTGTAGAGGGTTTGTCTTACAGCATTATCAAAGATTTCCTCATGAAAAGAGTGGTAAGGACGAAGGTGGGAAATTTCACAAGTGGAGGATGTAACATAACCTGTGGAGTTCCACAAGGTTCTGTATTAGGACCTTTATTGTATCTATTATACACCAATAACCTTAAAGACGCAAAATTAAAGGGAAGATACATATTATATGCAGACGATACAGCGATAGTATATGCGGATAAGGATAAAAAAAGACTCGAAGATATTATAAACACGGACATGAAAATATACACCGAGTGGCTAACTGAAAATAAACTAACAATTAACATAGATAAAACAAAATACATATATTTCAAACATAGAAAAAATACTGAGAACACTAAACTAAAAATTGAAGTAAATAATAGAGCAATAGAGGAAGTGGAAAGCATAAAATACTTAGGACTGATAATAAATGAAAAACTGACATGGACAGACCATATAAACAAAATAAAAAGAAAGATAGGAACATTAACAGGGGCATTGAAAAGGATCCACTCTTTCGGCAAAAAAAATAAAATACTAATTCTTAAAACGCAAATAATACCTATAATTTTATATGGCATAACAACATGGAGCCAAACAACTAAAGCAAACCTAAATGACATACAGAGAATAATGAATAAAGCCATAAAAATAGCATATAATTTACCACATCTAACACCCACCAAATACTTGCAGAGAGAAACAAATAATCATTCACTAAATAACATAATTGAAATAGAGAAATGCAAACTAATACACAAAATGAAATTTAACCGAATTAAAACAAGTGCAACAATAGACACAAATCAAGATATACATGAACACTACACGAGACAACACAACAATTTTCACATTGAACGCAATAGAAAAAAGAATTTGAGAGAAAATGTCATATGGAGTGCTACCAAAATATATAACGAATTGCCAGACTATATTAAGATGACCAATGATAATGAAAATTTTAAAAGAAAAATAAAGAAGTACTATATAGAAATTGAAGACAAAGAAGACTGAAGAGTTATATATATATATATAGATATTATATTAATGAAATAGATATTATAGTCAAATGAAATGTAAATATTATATGAAAACTGTTTTTCATAATCTCTCATACCAGGCACCTCTGTCTGACTGAGATATGAAAATAATGTATATATGTAAATAAATAAAATAACGTTCAAATTTAAAAAAAAAAAAAAAAAAAAAAAAAAAAATATATAGTAGATGTGTAACATAAAAAATAAAAGCTTATAAGTGAAACAGTTTTAAATAGTTTCAAACATAAAACTAACACGTACTTTATTTATTAAAAATATTTACAAAAACATAATTATTATTTACATTTGATACAGTTTGCACATTCATTTTTACACGATATTCATAAATGACCAAAGGCCATGAATCAAGATGTCAGAGCTAAGGAATCAGGCGAATTACAAAATGAACAAATACGGTTTAGTGACTGGATTTCCTCATTTGAATCCTCGCAATCGATACTAGATAGTTTACCACAGTCGATCTTTATGTGAGAACATTATTGGAACTGGTTGACGAGAAAGAAATCGCAGGGAATTTTTTTTGAAAATGAATGGGTGCAATCTTGTTTATCCTCTTGAGAAATCCATAATACCATAATACTTGAATTTTTTATTTGTTTTTGCAGAGAAGTAATCAAAACTAATTGACATCCAAACTAATTAGTTAGCTACTCAGCTTCCGTCTGATCGATGCGACAGTAAATGGTTTTCTCAATATTTACCCAGGTTTACTTCTGCTGCTTCATCATTAAATTAATTTGTCTAAGCTGTCAATTTTTTTGTTGCAGGTTTGGCGATGGATTAATATTCGATTAAATAGTTAATTTATCACTAATCATCACATACCACTGGATGGTTTTCAGGAATTCTTCTGATATGGCGGTATCGGGAATTCGGCAGTGATCAATTAAGTGTGCAGTCGATGGTGTACGCGATTTCCAAACTTATTGTCTTGTTCTGAATCCAAAACCCATAAAATTTTGTAGAAAGAAAAGAGTACAGCATTGTTTCATCTGTAGCAACTTAAAATTAAAATTCTTTTGAAAATACTTTTCAACAAAGTTCATCGTGGATCAAAAATATTTTATTTTAGTGTTATAGGATTTTTTTTTCTAATGAAAACAAAATATGTAAATATAGCAATAAGACATCGCTTGTCTACTAGATTACATTGATATAGAATTGTTTTTTGGTCAAAATTGTACTAAGCTAATTATATAAAATTTTGTAATTTAAAAGAATGAATTTTGCAAAAAAAATATATGATATATACATATGCACCTTCTGCAAACTTACATACTAATATAATATATAAGTAAATATACTTATTATCTATATCTAATTTAATTAATCAATGTAATCTAGTAGGCAAGCGATGTCATATTGCTATATTCACATATTTTGTTTTCATTAGAAAAAAAAATCCCATAACACCAAAATAAAATATTTTTGATCCACGATGAACTTCGTTGAAAAGTATTTTCAAAAGATTTTCAATTTTAAGTTGTTACAGATGAAACAATGCTGTACTCTTATCTTTCTACAAAATTTTATGGGTTTTGGATTCAGATCGAGACAATAAGTTTGGAAATCACGAAATATCATCGACTGCGCACCTAATTGATCACTGCCGAATTTCCGATACCGCCATATCTAAAAAATTCCTGAAAACCATCCAGTGGTATGTGATTTTTAGTAATAATTCAACTTTTTGATCGAATATTGATCCATCGCCAAACTTGCAACAAAAAAAAATGACAGCTTAAACAAATTAATTTAATGATGAAGAAGCAGAAGTAAACCTGGGTAAATATTGAGAAAACCATTTATTGTCGCATCAATCAGATGGAAGCTGAGTAGCTAACTAATTAGTTTGGAAATCAATTAGTTTTTATTACTTCTCTGCAATAACATAATGAATTCAAGTCTTAGGGTGTTATGCATTTCTCAAGAGGATAAACAAGATTGCTCTCATTTCTGTTCAAAAAAAAATTCTGCGATTTCTTTCTCGTCAACCAGTTCCAATAATGTTCTCACATAAAGATCCACTGTGGTAAACTATCTAGTATCGATTGCAAGGATTCAAATGAGGAAATCCAGTCACTAAACCGTATTTGTTCATTTTGTAATTCACCAGATTCCTTAGCTCTGACATCTTGATTCATGGCCTTTGGTCATTTATGGATATCGTATAAAAATCAATTGGCAAACTGTATCAAATGTAAATAATAATTATGTTTTTGTAAATATTTTTAATGAATGAAGTTTGTTAGTTTTATATATGAAACTATATAAAATTGTTTGATTTATAAGCTTTATTTTTTATGTTACACATCTACTATATTGCAAAAATTATTAGCAGAATATTGTGTACTCGAATATTTTTGACTTGGTATTGAAAGAAACTTCTGTTCTTAGCAATTTAGAGCAATTAGTAATTGATAAAATCCAAAATAAATTGCAGAAGATAATGTTTTATTATATTTCAGTTTTATATTTGTTATTTAATGCATTATGTTAGCATATTGTACTTAACATTCAAAACTTAAGGTTAATAAACTTAACATTGGTGCTGATAAGTGGAATGATAAGATAATTAAACTATAAGTTATGAAGAGCTTAACATTATTTGTCAAATGAAATTCAATGATTTAGTACTAACACTAGTTCAATATTAAATGCCATTGTTATAAAAACTTTATATAATTAAGTTATAAATTAGGTGTAAGTGGTCTGTTAAGTTAAAGCGAGTTGCTTGAACTTTCCTATATATGTAAATAATAATCTATTGAATCAATAGCAATTAAGATTTAGCAACTTCTCAAATTGTGACGATAAAATTTTGAAGCTCTATTATTCCAAACATTAATATTTTTTTTATAATTCAAAACACATTTTGTAGGCCTATGATGTTTTAGTAAGTTCACGTAATCTTGAACTTTACCACTGCGCGAAGTTGCATTAATTAGGAAGAATCTTTATCAAAAACTAATTAGCACGATTCCAAACTGATATCTTTTGAACAATTTTAAAAATTTCAAACTTGGTTCAGGATTTTGGTTGAATTTTTTTATGCTGATTTTACAGAAAGGTTTTGGCCGATCGTCTTGCATAACCAATCTTTTATTGTTTTATCAAATGACTTTTAAATTTTTGAAATCCTTGCAGTTCTTTCATTAGAAACTATCAACAAAATATCAAATTTTGACTTCCACCTATATATTTTTTCCAATTTTGATCTCAAACGATTCAGAATGACTTAGAACCTCAAACTCTGAAATTTGGAAAGCTGGATTTTCTGACAAAATTTTAAATCTGCTTCGGGTTGTTAAAATATTAGTTAATATGAATTGTAGTTTACAAATATTATTCAAAACGGAATAATTAGACTTTTAAAACATTTTAATAATTTGATATTTATTGGTACCATCGATCCATAATAAAGGTTGATATCAATTTAATATTTCTTATTTGTAACAACTTTCAATTATGCAAAAACTTCTAGAAATTATGTTACTGTTGGCCTCAATTATAATTGATTATTATTATTAGTGGTAATAGCTTTGGTCAATCAAGGGTTCCAAGTTTGATACCAGCCTCGATATCTTTTTACTGAAATATATATTGACTTATTATCGGTGGTGGTAAGAACTTTGGTCAGTGACACAATACAAGCTTTGGCAGCTTGATATAAAGCAGTACTGGTTTTTGTTCAAAAATATAGTGACTGTACTGTTACTTATTATTAGTAATACAAGCTTTAGCTAATCACAGAGTACAAGGTTCAATACCAGCTTTTAATGCCTGATATAAAGCAGTACTGGTTTTCACATAAAAATGACTTAAAATTATCAGTTGTTAGAGCTTTGACCAATCACAGGGTACAGGGTGAGTTTCGATACCAACCTTGGGCAGCCTGATATAAAACAGCACTGGTTTTTATTTAAAAATATAGTGACTATACAGTAAATTATTATTAGTGCTAAGAGCTTTGGCTAATCATAGGGTATAAGTTGCAATATCAGCCTTGGGCAGTCTGATATGAATCAGTACTAATTTTTACTTAAAAATGTGGTGACTGAATATTATCAGTAACAACAGCTTTGGCCCAGAGAACAAGACTTGATACCAGTTATGCTTTCACTCAGAATTATGATGGTTTATTATTATCAGTGAAGAGAGCTTTGACCAATTACAAAGTACAATGTTCAATACCATCTTTGATAGTATGATCTAAAGCAGAACTGGTTTTCATTTAAAAGTATAGAGACTGTACTGTGAATTATTATTAGTGCTAAAAGCTTCGGCCAATCATGGAGTTCCAGGTTCAATACCAGCTTTGGGCAGCCTGATGTAAAGCGCTACTGATTTTCACTTAAAAATATGGTGAGTTAATTCTATCAGTGGTAAGAGCTTTGGCCAATCACAGGATACAAGGTTCGATACCAGCTTTGGGCAGTCTGATATTATTCAGTACTGGTTGTTACTTTAAAATATGGTGACTTATTATTATCAGTGGTAAATGGCAATTGGTAATAACCCGCCTGATATAAAGTAGTACTGGTTTTGAAATATAGAGACTATGCTGTAACTTATTATTAGTGGTAAAAGCTTTCGCCAATCAAGGGTATCAGGTTCAATACCTACCTTCGGCAGCCTAATTTGGAGCAGTACAGGTTTTCACTTAAGATATGGTGACTCAATATTATCAGTGGTAAATGCTTTATCCAATCACAGAATACAAGGTTCAATACCAGATTTCACAGCCTGATATAAAACAGGTTTTAACATAAAATATAGAGACTACACTCTGTTTTTTTTATTATTAGTGGTAAGAGCTTTAGCCAATCATTAGGTTCAAGGACCTTTTATTTACTTTCAGAGAAATTCTTCGATTTTGTAACTATTAGCTAGAATTTATTATGAAACAATGCATCGTTTCTAGAAAGTGTTTAAAGCCGGTGCCATAATATAGTTTGTAGACAATTTTTTATCCAAACTGTCTTTGCTCAATCTAATTATTCATGTCCCCGATATCGAGAGCCCTTCATAATGAGTAATTACAAAGGCGGAAGACGGTTCGATTGCATAGCTAATTGTAAAATATTGGATTCTATTTTAAACGATTGTTGCAACACCCATTTTCAATTTTAAATTAGTAAAAGATATTATCGTAATTAGTAAATATGTATTATTGTAATTAACTAATTAAAAACGCTGAAATTAAATTAATACGAAACATGCGACGTAGTAGAATTAAAAATAAAATAAGTCAAAAAAATAAATACCTAATTTTGTGGAATAATGAACTCCAATAATAATTTTAGTTGATTTTTTTGGAAACCGTCAGAAACAACGGGGATCATATTGGAAAGATTATTATCGATCAATTATGAATACTTTAAGAAAATTCCTTTAAAACTTTGTATTTTTGTTAATAAATATAATTTTATAATAAGTTTTTTCTGTAGCTGAATACTTTGTCCAATAAATTCCTAGCATATATATCCAAATATCTTCTTAGATTTTTTAATAAATTGAAATCTGTCTTTCAAAAAACGAATTTTGAGATAAACTATAAATCATCAATTGAAGTTCTTAAACGTTACTCAATAGGAAACTTATCAAATTTGAATTTCTATTTTATAAGATACTTTCTTTCGTAATGTCTTGCAGTAAAACTTACTTGTTCAAAATATTACAATGATATTAATATACTTTATCTAAAATTACTTCTGAACTGGAATTTTACAATTTTAATTCAAATGTTATAGTAAAATGATAGAGAAAGTATTTTGTTCACCAAGTATATTCAATTATCAATAAATATACGTAAATCTTTAATATGAAATTTCACGAATATATTTACTTATGTGATCTAATATGCATAGTAATAACACTTACAATATCTTTGCAATGTTATGGTAAACTATGGTAAAATTACCCATCCTGATCTACAACAATCTTCTCTCTACAATGCAAAATGAATTTAAAAATTATCAGTATAAAAATTGTAATAATACATTAATCTTAGCTAGCAATTCAAAAAACTGAAGTTCTGATGGCTATTTAAAAAAGTTTGAATTATTTACTAATAAAAATTGGTAAATTTAGAGGGAGTTTAGAAGTATTGAATAAAAATATTCTAAAATTCATATTCAGCTTCAATTTAATAGGAGTATTTTTATAATTTGTTATATCGCTTAAAAAATAAATTCAAGGTTCCAACAACAAATGTCTAAAATTTTCCAGTATTAGATGACCATAAAATGTTACCAAGTTTCTGCTAGAAATCGTCATACATGACAATATAAATCTTTGATAGGGTTAACAAGAATTTTTAAGATAAAGTTGGTTTACTATTATTTATAGACAACTTATTAGCAATATAATGCTTCACATCAAAATTAGCAAATTCAGAAACGTGGAATAATTAGGCTTTTCAAAATTTGACTAAATGTAAGATAATAAAATTAAAAGTAAAATTTGATAGTCACTTAAGTTTTCGATATTTAGTGGTAGTAAATTAATAAATTATACGAGGAGTACTACTAGAAACCGTCAATCTTGTTAAGAAAAATGTTATAAGTTTGAAAATTGATCTTTAGATAATCCAATTTCTTGTTTTTTTATTATAAATTCGAAACCGAAAATAAATTGAAACGTCCAAAATTATTCTTAACAAACTGCAACGTGATTGGCAAAAATATGAAGAATGTTAAATAAGCGTAAAATTTGTAAGGAAAATAGTTACTTTTAAGGCTGTATTTTGTAGTTTAAATATATTTTTTAAAAATGAAAAAAATTTTAGTAATAATATTCCATATACGAGATGCATATAAAAATTAGAATCATTAAAAATTTGAAAGAATTAATTTGAACTGACTTTGAATTCAAAGATCTTAAACAAATTTCCTTGTTCTATTGTAGGCTTTAGAATTAGGATTAGAATCAATACTACCAAATATACTTAGCAGTACTAGTTTAATGCAATTGAATTATTAAATAATTAGTAATATACAGGGTTTCCTAAAACTTAACGTCAAACCGAAACGGGGTGATAGTATTGACCTCTTAACTGACCTAAAAAAATTCAATTACATTGCTTAGAAATTGAGCTTCTAAATGCAATCTAGAACTTCGGTAAAATGAGACTATGTTTTGATTACTGTGGTTTATTTGTATTAATTAAGTTTATTTAAACTTTGGAACCGTAACTGTGAATAACGCTTCTAGGACCATAATCAAAAACATTAGGATAATTGCGCCAAGTTTTCAAGCTAAAGTTTTTGATTGATTGATTTAATTGATTGTCTTCGCGAGGCACTTCTTTAAAAAAATGTAATAAAGTATGTTGCAAGTTATCAAAAGTTGGCGCATTTAAGTTGGCTGGATACTGAAATGGCAATATACTTGAAAATTTTATAATTAAAACATTTCTAGTGAAAAATATACTTGTGACGTTCCATTCCAAAGAAGTCTAATAATTTACAATTATTATTATTTCTAGTTCCTCTTAAGTTTGAATGAAGCATACTAGGAAGACACCAGCCTGTTTCATATGACATATTAAAAGATGACATAATGCAAACACAACTTCAAAGTCTCTCCGAGATGAATGCGTAATCATTGATTTATTGTTAACATCCAGTCAGATGCGATCGTTAAAGTTAAAGGGACTGAATTCTATTATTCTAGCTCACTATCGATCGCAGAAGATCTAATATTATTGCAAATGCGTTTATGCAAATGTCACGGATTCAAAAGCGTAATTACAGGTTGTCATTGCGAGATATCAAAATATCAAAGTACTTTAGAAGGAATTGATTGAATAATACCGGTGTTACGGTAGTGTCAGTCATATTTATTGATATGATAAACGAGGATTATAGAAGGCGATAATCGGTTATATGTTTTAAGAATTTAAAGAGGATGCGTTTGCTTTAAATGTTACATTGACTTCTGGGATCCCCAGTTGGGTGGTGTTTGAATCTAAAGTTCCAGGTTTGATACCTGCCTTGTTCAGCTTGATGTTAAATAGCAATTGCATCGGTTTTTATTTCAAAATATAAATGGCAATATATTTCCAAGTAAAAATAGCCTCAATCTACTTGTTTACCTATTTATCTCTCTACCTGCCTACTTATTTGCCAGCTTACCGTTCTATCAATTTATGTCTACCGGTCTATCTATCTACAATTGTCTTTTCTACTTTTTACCCAATTACCTTATTACCTATCTGTCTAGCTGATTACCTGTCTACTTTTCTTATTTTCTACCTTTCCATTTTTTACCTGTATACCTGTCCACCTATATACTTGTCTACCTAATTCCTAATTACAACTAGTTCTATCAACATCAATAATTTGTAAATATCACATTTAACCAACAAATATATTTATTTGTAATTTGTTTCTGTATCTCCAAAAGAGCAGGATCTGCCTTCGCAAAAATGTAACCAGTTTTTTAATTATTAAAATCGCATACTCCGTTATTCAAAAAATAGTAATATTCGGCAATTTTGTCCCGTATTTCAGAAACTTTCAAGTTGTCTACATTCGAGAAAATTTTTCATATCCAGGATCAATATCCACTATATTGATAATTTAACATTGAAACATCTTTTCCAATAAACATTTACCTATTGTTTACTTTATTTTATTATTGAAATTTTAATTAATCTAAGTATACATTAATATAAGACAGATATATGTCTAAGTTTACAGCAACTTTGGCTTTGCAACTCAAGATTTCAATTTATATATTTACATCATATCAAGCAGTAAAGTTTTATGTTGCTGAATCAAATTAAATAACTTGACTATCATTATTATATTAAGTAATTTGGTAAATTTTTATTATTAATCACAACCTGTCGTCTTATGCACAAAAAAAGGCATTCAGAAATTTTGGGTATATATGGATAATAAACATCTATTCTAAAAGGTTACTCAATAGTAATCCTTTTAAACATTGATAAATAAATGAAATTAAACTGCTGTCCTATAAAAAATTAAAAAAATAAAAATAAAATAAATAAATAAATAAATACAAGTGAAGATATAATATATTTAATAGAAATAAGCCACCTGATGAGTTGCTTTCTAGAAAACTATAAAGACAGGTATGAATGATAACAGATCAAGTATCATTACAACAGTTTTGGAATCTTATTGAATTCTAATTCCTATTCAAAAATAAAACAAAAACAAATATTCAGTGCAAT